TTGGCAGTGCTTTTGAAAAAACAGATTTAATGCCGTGCAACAAAAAAAAAAAAAAGGTTATTCTCTTCATGTGCGCAGCTGGAAACGCAGTAATTAAGACAACCCTGAGCGCACTGACAGGCATATATCGAACAGCCCAGCACTACAAAGGACCCCCTACCCCCCACAGATGGAGATACGGACTTCTAGTGCTGCCGGTGGAGGATGAAAGAAGCCTTTTTCTGGTCAAAGAGATGGGAGCTGCAGTACAGCTGTCACGCACAAACCTATACACTTATTTAAGGGGACAAGAAGTATTCCTTAGAATAATGAAAAGGTGTTTCCAATATCTTTGTCAGACCAAAGCATCGGATGGGATGTACGCACGGTGTCACGCAGTCCCTGGAGCATCATTAGCACCCGCCGTACATGTTAATGTGTCACTGCGCGGTAGCTGTCGATCACTTTGAGCTCGTACGCGTGAGTCGAGTGGATCTGCGCACAAAAGGTCTGACAGCCCTTCTGCATGAGCCAGAGGCACTTATAGCACATCACAGCCATCCATATATCCATTCATCCATCCATATATCCATTCATCCATCCATATATCTACTCAACCATCCGTCCGTCTGTCTGTCTGTCTGTCTGTCCCCACACACTGACGACTCGCCTGGGGCATTTGAAGCAGACAGGCAGTCAGATATCTTAATCCCACAACAATAGGTAAACAGGGGGGGGGGGGGGGGGGCATACAATAGGCTTCTGAGAGGCTTAGCCCTGCCTCATCCAACTGTGTCACCCACCCCACCCACATATCACCGGGCTCGGGATGGACGGCGAAACAGGGAAAGAACAAACTCTTTAGTCTGTGATATTAATATCTATATCTAACAGTAGTTCAATTATAGCTCGTCAGTCACCTTGTAATGCACTCTGAACTGCACTCACCTGAACGAAAGTTGCTGTATAAATGAAGTAAGCAGGACACGACTGAGTGATTTAAGTGGTAAGAGTTTGCGCTTTGCGCTTGGATTGGGTTGTATTCGTGACAAACCGTCCAGTGTGACAATGAGCGAGAAAGACTAAAAGAGCCGAAGCTGTTATCATCTCGTCTTCCAGCAAAAGTCTGTGAAAACGTTTTCAAGCCGAAGATAAAATGTGACCCGTGTGGCAGCGAGTTAAGAAAAAAAAAAAAAAAAAAGC